ATTATCACCTTACCACTTAAATCCATGCCAGGCCAAGCTTAAATTCAAGGCTCTTCTTATACTGACGGTGTTGACAGTACTGGGTTGTTTCTCCATCCTCATGCAGAGAGAGGAAGAGTTGTATAGATGACTATGATTGGCCTTTCCTCTGGGCTGTCTTCTGAATAAGTATTCTCTCCCATGCAGAAATTCTCAAGTAAGCTTAGTTTCTGTGTCCATTATGAAATCCAGCAACATGAGATCCTAACATAAAACCAATTATATAGGGACTAAAGTTTTACATCTGAAGTATTACTTAAGCCATGCATTAAAGCCCTTGTAGGAAGGTGATGCAGTGAACGAGGGAGACAGGTAAAAGTATATTAGTGGAGCTTGTTAAACACAAAAGCAGTAAGCAAGGTGCTCTAGAAATGCTGGCCAATAATGGCGCAGAATATCATTGTTGCAGTCAAGTGTGTGTCAATGGATGGATTTTCACTGCTGGCAAGTCTGTTGTTCCATTTCATGGTGTGTGACAAGAGGTGATGGCTGTGAATAATAGAGGCATTGCCAACACACGCTGGCCCTAGTGAACGAAGAATTGTATGCAGGCTCCTGGGACAAAAAGAAAACAAGGGAGTCTTTGGATGCCCTGGTGTCTGGACTAGAGAAGTGAGTCACTTGGTAGCACAGATAGTGGTTTCCTCATTCCTGTTGTCTGACGGGACTTGGGAAGAGACAAAGTGTTGGGTGGGAGCAATTTGCTGTGTAGATGGTGATGGTGAACTGATTTGACCAACAGTTTAAAGTTCAGACTGAAAGGCTTTTATCCATATAAGGAGAAATAAGAGAGGACAAAGAAAAGGGAAGAAGAGAAATAATATACATGTGGGTGAAAAATAATATGCATGTGGCAAACACACATCAAGTAATGTTCCTTTTATGTCCATTCTCTCACCTTGAGTCAGAAGTCCACATCAACATAATCTTTCCATGTACAAAGTTTCAAAAAACAAAACCTAGGAGTGAGGTGGGGCTTGGAAAGACTCTGTAATAGCTACTGGAATAGAAGATCATTTTCTGCCACATGAATGGCAAAAAAAAAAAAAAAAAATGTAAGGATTTAAGGTTGCTATTGGGGTAAGAGAAAAGCTTTTCTCTGCCTGGGTGTGTGTGTATTGCTTCACTTCACAAAGCTCTGGGGCTAAGTTCTGTAATGAAGACAGAACTCTGTAACTGAACAGTCCTAGATGGAAGCACCCCAACAGTCTGTATTGGAAATTCCCTTTGATCTTTTTAAACCAGGTGGCAGCTTGAATTCTACCACCATTAAAAGTAAAATCTTTGTTTCTATACTTGATCGAGACTAGTGTCTTTCCAATCTTAGAATAAACTCTCAGCAAACCCAGCAGAGACCAGCACACACCACTGCAATAAAACCTACTGTGTTTTCTGTCAGTTACTACCCCCATCGGTGTCACCATGGTTTCCGCCTTCAGGAGATGCTGTCTTTCTTGGTGGAAACTTGTTTTGTTCTTGCAAAGGGGAAGATTCCTTACCTAAAAAGTTAATTCTCTCATGGAATTTTACTAGGGTACAGGGGTGTTTCCGTGGAACACAATGATGGAAATCTTCCTTCACATCATTGGAAATCTCTATTTTCTTGACTTCCATGCTGTTTTTAGTTCCAGCTAAGATAGTAATTTGCCTTTTGGAACAGTTAATTTGTGTTTCTATTCCATGGGTTCTCATTCAGAGTTCATGGCCTCAAAGTTGTAGCGGCTGTACAGTATAAGTTAGTTGTCAAGAATGTGGCTCTAACTAGTTCTGTGTGCCTCTGAAGTTAATGCTGCTTGTTGTCCCATTCCATTTTACTTCAAGGAGAATTAATTCCACTTGTTAACAAAGGCTTCTAAGTTAATGTTATTTTCTGTACAGAAATTAAAATTTATTTTTAGCCTTTAGGAAACATTTTTTTTCCAAGTAGGTAAATCAGCTACTCAAAAACAAAACAATTATTCTCAGATCCTCATCATTAGCAACTGGATTTTTTGCTGGTTTTATAGCTTACTAAAAATGATTAGTCTGTTGACATTCCACATTCAAAACTTTTGTAGGGTGGTGGATAGTGGGGAAGCTTCAATGTTTATTTTAAAATAAATAAAATAAGTTCTCAACTTAAAAAAAAAGAATGTGGCCCTGAAGAAATGGGATTTTTTTTTTATTTTCCAAGCTAGAATTCATTTATTCTGAATTATGGTGTTTACCCTGTAGCAAATCTTTTTTGTTGTTGTTGTTCATATAATTTGCTTTGAAGAGAATTTACTGTTTAATCAGTCTGGAATTGTTTTCTGAGAGTACACTATTTACTTATCTGATGTTGAATTGACAGCCTAAATAACTCTTATCCATGAGGCAATGGTTTATGACAATGTATTCTGTAGAGATTCTGAGCACATTAGCCAGTATCTCCCATCTCCTTCACAAATAATAGCTCCTTTCTCATGTGCTAACATAGCAAGAAATAAAGTCTGAATTCGATATTTTTCATGAATTAAATAGTCTTAAAATCACCGTTTGGGGTCTGAAGAGGTACTACAGCAATTAAGAGTGCTTACTGCTCTTGCAAAGAATAGTTTAGTTCCCAGCACCCATGTCAGGGGGCCCACTTGTAATCCCAGCTCTATGGAATCTGGTACCCTTCTGGGCTCTTAGAACAGCACACTCACATACATACACATATATGCATGCATGTGCATGCGCACACACATATGAACTAAAAGTAAAACAAATTTTATTTAAAATAAAACATCATTTCACTTCTGGGCCTAGTGTTCTGTTTTACACAAGGAGCCTGTCCAGTCCTAGTGCTGTTGGTTAATTTGATCATGAAAATGTTGGATCATTATAAATTTGTTAAAACTTTCAATGAATGCTGTACTTCTTTTTTATTTATTTTTTATTTTATTTTATTTTTTTAAAAATTTTTATTTTTCTTTTTAGTTACAATTTGTTAGCTCTATGTCCCAGCTGTATCCTGCTCCCTAATTCCCTCCCCCTCCCCAACTCTCTCCCTGGTCTTCTCCCTGCCCCTTTCCAAGTCCACTGATAGGGGAGGGCTGTACTTCTTAATATGCCAAAAATTCAAAATCAGTTCTCCAATATGCTAGATTTATCCAGTCCTGAATGAAAAATCAGGTGGGAGCATCCTGACTGAAAACTCAGCTATCAGGTAACCAATCCAGTTAAGTTTGATTCAGGAATGGACCCACTGTGCCCACAGAAAGGGCCATTCAGATGCCCTTTCAGTTATCCCATTTGGTGGCAGAATATATCCTGAAATGCTGATAATGGAGCTAAGGACTCCATAGGATCTTCAGCCTGTCTGTGGACAACAGTCCTGTGCCACTGATTCTTTCACACTCGCCACTGTGCTCCACCGTGAGATTGGGGGGCATGCTCTGCTTCCAGATGTTGAAGATCCTCTGAAAATAAGCCAGAAAGCATCTGTTGGTTTCCTGCAGTTTCACATCAGCACAATGAATTTTGGTGTTGCAGTCTCAGCCAACATGTTGACAATTGTTGAATCATATAACGGTTTCCTTTAGACATTTCTAAATGCCTGAGTTTGAACAGTGCCACCTCCTGTTCTGGGTGCAAGCAAGAATTAGCTTCAGGATGCTCTCGCAGGAAGTAGACTGGATGAACTAGAATGAAGTAGGAATGTGTAGACCATAAAAGTAAAGCTGTCTAGGAAGACAAAACAGACTAACTCAGGAGAGAAAAGGGGGAGTAGAGGCTTTAAAGGGTATGTTCATTATACAGTATACACTTGTACACAAACTGGATAGACGGACATTTTAAAATATGTGTGGAAGAGGTAAAGAAGACTGCCCCAAAACAGCAGCCCTCATTTTGGTATCATTGAGGTTGAAACTGCCCTGTTTGGGTCCTGATGCTGTTTACACAGAGCTCTAACTGCTTCTTTGAGAACCTTTGTGGGTTGTGATAGTAAATTCAAACCACAGCAACAATATTATTAGGTATAAAGTATTAAAATAGAGATGGCAAAGCATTACAACACTGTGTTAGTGTTGGCTAATCCAAAGAGTGGAAATCTGTATGCATTTTGTTTGAGGAGATGCAATCTTCCTTGCGCTGAGGAACAAATAATTCAGAAAGCACAGATTGGAGCCGTATTCAATCTTCTAGTGGACTTGGTGGAGTTTTCTTGTTGTCATTGTCATAGTTGTTGCTGTTGTTTTACTGTTAATATGATGTTAGGAAAAACTTTGTCAGTGGATATTTTTGGTTTAAATGACTACTTTAAGATGGGTCTCATGTTTAAGGATTGTGTCTCCTTTGAGAATCTAATAAATGCTAATGAGTCACCTCTAAAATGAGTGAAGCAGACACAGTACAGTCTGGTTACAATTTAAGGACCCCCTAGTTCCCTGGTAGAACCCAGAATACTCGGGTGTTCATAGTGCTTGCCTGTAGTTCACCACTTCATAGGTCTCTCACCACCCTCTGCTTCATGAAGGTCTTTTCAGCTCTGGACCTGAGTCACAGGAGCTTAGCTAGAAATGTTAAGCTGCTGCTCAGGCAACGCACTGAACAGGGACTCAGTATGCCAGGTGCTTTGTGCATGACATCTGCCCCTCCAAGCACTTGGTGACACCTGTGTTCCAGCCTGCGTTCCATCCACTCTCAAGAAGTGGAAGCTACCGTTGGTGTTAAAATGTCATAGAGCCCTCCTAATTCTTTGTAGTGATTCCCCAGTAACGGATTGAGAGCCCCCTGAGCACACTCATCTCTCCATCTTCTCCAGCATGGATGTAGCTTTTGGAGGGTATAAATCAATTTAGATGCCCAACCCACTCACTCACCTTGAGCTTGGTTAGTTCTGAGTTGGAACAGGCCTTTTATTAAGAAATCTCACTTCCTATCTTTTCTGCTCAAAAACATGTCCGTTCTGTATACTTCTGACTATTGCCGTTGGCTCTGCTTTCTCCATACAGGTAACAACACTGACTCAGGAGGTCTCCCAACTAGGTAAAGATATGAGAAGCATCATGCAACTTCTGCAAAACATCTTGTCACCTCAGCAGCCGTCACGATTTTGTTCTCTGCATCCCAGCCCGATGTGTCCTTCCAGAGAAAGTTTACAGAGTAGGGTGAGCTGGAGTGCTCACCAGCCTTGCCTGCATTTGCAGGCAGGTGGAGCACAGCTTTATGGTGGTAACATCACCTCTGACATCTGGAGTGTGGATCCCACCTCTGTGGGCAGTAGCCCTCAACGAACTGAACTTTATGAGCAAAACCCAGCAGACCGTGAACCACATCATTCTCCAAACCTTGATTATTCCCCCTCCCACTGCCAGGTTATCCAGGAAGGTCACTTGCAGTTCCTAAGGTGCATTTCCCCCCATTCCGACACCACACTGACACCTTTGCAGTCCATCTCAGCCACTCTCTCATCCTCTGTGTGCTCCTCATCAGAAACATCTTTGCACCTGGTTCTCCCAAGTAGATCAGAGGAGGGCAGCGTCACGCATGGACCTGTGAGTTCCTTCAGTTTGGAAAACTTACCAGGCTCTTGGGACCGAGAAGCAACGATGTCAAACGCTACAGAACCCTTGGAGAGCTTTCCAGTAGAAGTTGTCACAAGCACAGCAGATGTAAAGGACAGCAAAGCCATCAATGTATGATATCAGCACATAGAGGCAGCTTCCAATGCCAAACCCACTGCTACATGACAGCTCTTGTTTGCCTTTGGGGCTTCTAGCAGGCATGGAGTCTCAGCAATTTGGTAATACTACAGAAATGAGGGCAAGGGGCCAGGAAAAGGCAGAGCCACCTCTATACTGTAGCAAACACTTTCTAGATCTTAGAAGCATCAAATCTGTTCTGTACAGGTGTTAACTTACTGGTCTGTTTGACGGACTTTGGTAACCATCCAAAGACCCCGAGGGTCTGAGAAGATAGAAATCCCAGACAAAGAGTTTGGGGATTAGCTTTGTCGTAAGTGGCTTTTGTGAAGTGCAGCAAAGGTTTTTCCTGAGTGCCTGATTGTCATTCCCCGACAACATCCACAGCACTGTTGGCCTCCTGAGTGCAGAGCTCCCGCTGATCTATTTTCCTTTTTGTGAAGGCAAAGGAACAATTATCACTGCATGTCATCTCCTAGACAATCAGTCAAGCAGAGCTGGTGACCAGTGGTTAGCTATCCACACGTTATTTGCCATGTAAATGAAAATGTCTTTATTTATCGAAAAAAGAAGCTATTTTTATATCCTTGGTATGAAATATGTATTTAAACTGCTTAAACTATTTATAAAGAAATGAATGTTTTCTTTTCATTTTGGTAAAAAAAAAAAGCTTGCTGTTTTAAAAGGAAATGCACTACTGTTATGTATAGTAAATCAAAAATTATTTATCATTAAGAGGTTGTAGTTTTGAAAGGAATCCCCTTTTATCTGCATGCAATTTGCAAAACAGAAAAAAAATGTACTCTCACATTTCTCGGCTACAGAAGGACAGTGGGATCATATTTTATTAATGAAATAGCAGTGTGGACTCGTTGTGAACTCCATGAAGCCTGGTCTGGTGATGGAGAGGGCTCCTTTTCTCTGCTGACTCATGCAATGCTGTGGACCCCAGCAGCCATGTGCAATACGAGAAGTCCCCTGAGTTGTATTCTGTGGTTTAAGAACCTAAAATTTGTTTGTACAATATGTGATTAACAACCTATATCAAGCCAATTTGGGTTCAAAACTATAAGTGTGTCCTACCCTGGTTCTTCATGTTAGGAGAGGTCAGGAGCCAAGGCACATCTCCAAATGAAGCTAAAACATTTGGACTGTGACTGCCAGGCATAATACCCACTTAGACTGCCCATTGATACCTGGTTAACTCAGGACAGCATTGAGTGTTTAAGGTTAAAGCTCCTCACAGGGCTGGAGGCTACAAAGTAGATGCCATGGGTGTGTAGCAAGAGAAAAGAAACTCCATTACACAGGTTATATGGCTAGGCTGCTCAAAGCTAGAACCCAGAGTGTTCCTGGCATTTCACACACACAAATATCCAAATCCGTGTGCTGTTTGGCAATGATGTAAACACCTTAATTTAAGATGTATATTGTGTCTAAGGGCATTTGGGTTTCATCTTCCCTGACGTTCCTATGAGTTCATATTTTGGAGCTCTTCTGGTTTTATATCCAGCACAGAGGATAAATGATCAGAATCGCATCATTAAAAATATCAAAGCAAGCCAAAGGCCCTGGCGTTGTGATTCATACACCCCAGCCCTGGCTGGGGCAGCACAACAACAGCAAATGCTCTGAAGGACATTCAATGCAGGATGTAATTGTTTGGTGACTTACTCAAGGCCGGACGTGGTCTGGCCTCCATACCTCCAACTTTCAGTCTCTCCTTAGGTTTAGGAGAAACTGAGGGAAAAGAAACAGCTTGGATTTCCTGTGCTCATTTGCACCCCCTCTTTCTTCTCTCATCATTTTAAGTGCTACTTAGAGAGAGCTCATTGGTGTTGTTTCGTGAAGACCCACAAAGCATAGCAGGAGGGCTGATACTGAGGCCGGAGATGTTTAGAAATTGCATGTGGTATAATTACCACATATAATGACCAAAGGATAGTAATGATTAGTTACTATTATTCCTGTTTTTGAACAAATGATTGGGATAAGGCTTTTCTCATCAAATTGTTTTAAATTTTAGAACATATACCCAAATCACCACTTAAGATGTTTCATGTTGACACCCATCTCTTGCTACTTTTTCAAATTTATAAGTAATTCCTTCCTTCCTTCAATGAATAAACACTTGCTTCTATTTTTATAAGAAGGTGAAGAAATAAGAAGACTTAGTATCTAAGGGTGTGAGAAGCCCAGTGGCATGTTTGGAAATACATAGTAATTTTCTTTAAAACACCTTCTTTCCACAACGTTGACCTCAGTGGCTCAAGAAGCAGCTCCCGGACCCACACGGAATTGCACCTAGTTAAGAGCAAGCAGAAACCTCAAAAACGGAAGGGCTCCCAGGGGTTCCTTTCCTGTGAGTGACCTCCTCTCCAGAGCCAACCCCACCTCCACCTTGACACACAGAAATCTTCTGTATCTGAGGCAGCACTGAATGAGCTGATTTGTTTGATCTGGGTGATTCATGACATGATGTTACTATAGGAAATGAAAACTTTGGGTATGAGGTTCTCTATGGATGGCTGCCCAACAAAGAACAGAGGGTTCCACATTCTCATCAGCATTGTAGTTTTGGATTCCAACATTTCTCCCCTCACCCATCCACTGCTGAAGAGGAAACCCCAGAGAACGTAGATTTTTTTTCTTTTCTTTACCAAGCCCACATTTTAAAAAATAACATTCAGTGCAAAAAAAAAATTAAAGAGGCTGCTATGAACACTTGCTGCTCTTTCAGAGGACCCAAGTTCAATTACCATCTACACGAGGTGGCTCACAATCACCTATATCTCCAGCCCTAGGGGATACCTTAGGATCTTCCAGCCTCCTCAGGTTTCCACACACAGCTGTTCATATGTGCATACATACATACATGCATACTTACTTTTAAATGAAATATAATAATATTGGAGACATAAATCTCCTATGCTGCAGTTCTGCCTAAAGAAACTAGACAAACAGACTTTGTGAGATTTGTCCAGTTTAAGAAGAATTTGGTGATAATCAAAGCTGCTTGTAGAGCTTGTTAACATCTGCAGCATGCAATCTCCTCTCAGAGACTGGCTACGGAACAGAATGGTGCTGTTCTGAATGATCTAGATTGTCAGGTACGAGCTGGGGTGCTTAAAACATTGGACATCAAGCTCCAAGCCAGTGACTTTGGGTGGAGCCTGAGGAAATTACCACTTGGTGAGCTCCCTGGGTGATAAACATATTGTAAAAATTAACAAATGCTGTTCTAAACTCTACCTAAATACAACTGTACATTATACTGATGGGTATGTAGGTAGACCAGCATCTATAAAAGAGCTGTGAGTCTGTAGCTGTACTGTGCATAAGCTTGCTTAGGCTCAAAACAAATCTCCAACTCTAGCTCAAATTATGTATTTCTCAGAGGATCTTAGGAAGGTAGACATTCAGAACTCTGACTTAAAGATACAGGCTGGATGGTCCTTGCTGCATGATCTCAGGAAGTTTTTTTTTGACACTTCTGAGCTTCAGTTTATTCACTTAAAACTTGAGGCTTACACTACTTCTAACTTGCAGAGCCTCTGAGAATTAATGGAGCAATTTAAGTGAAAGCCCACTGCCTAAGCAGTGGCATAGTAAATGACAAGTCATCCCCTAGTCTTCAGTTCTAGCTCCTCTCCCGCTTTCCTTCTCTTTGCCTTCTGTTTCTTTCTCCCTCAACACTCATCCGCCATCCTTGCCTCCAGCTGCCTCCTCCCCAGCTTCTCCTGGCTTTCTCTTTACCATCTTTCTCGTTTTCCTTTACCTCTCCCTTCCTCCTTTCCTCTCCCTCCCTCTGTTCCCTGTCTCAGGTTAATCTCTGAAACATGAGACTTGATGAAATCTTCACTTCATAGGTCAGACTACAACTTTCATACCACCACGGGGCCCTCGCACTGCAGCCAACCACGGTGGCAACCAGGCCAGCACTCACCTGTAATGAAACGTGTAATGGAAGCAACAAGGTAAGAAAAAAAAATATTGTACTTGCTCCCAGCCTCCTTAGCCCCCAACTATGTGCTTTTGGGCTTATTTGAGTGAGCTACAGTAATTAAAATATTTTATAAACCTCTTTACAATTACATAAAGACTCCTGGAATTTACTCACTAACAGGAATGGGCTTTATAAACACATGGCTTTTTTTTTCTATTTGTCCATTTCCATTCCGAAACCACAAAACAAACAAACAAAAAAACTGTACCTATTAATAAAGCAGAAGACTCTCAGTGGTGGCGTGGTCCTTATCCTTCAGAGCTGATAAAATTCTCACCTGTTCACCACAGCCTTCAACGCTTCCCCTGGAGCCCCAGGGAGCCAGAGAGCCCCTCCAGAAAGAAGGAGCAAAATGTCACTCCCCACAGCTACTGTCCTGAAAGAACTTGTTCCCTGCTTTCCATCTTTTAACAGAGTTCTGAGTAAATAGCTCTTGAAAGATGTTCTGAAAAAGCTCTGAATCAGCCAGGCAAAGAACCCCCATATCCACAGCTTTATATTCATAATAGTCAGAACCTGGAAACAACCTAGATGTCCCTCAGTGAAGGAATGGATACAGAAATTGTGGTACATTTACACAATGGAATACTACTCAGCAATTAAAAACAAGGAAATCATGAAATTTGCAGGCAAATGGTGGGAACTAGGAAAGAATATCCTGAATGAGGTAACCCAGAAGCAGAAAGACACACATGGTATAAACTCACTTATAAGGATATTAACCATATTATGTAAGCTAAATATAGTAAAATCTATATTCTTAAAGAAGCTAAACATGAAAGAGAACCTATAGAAGATGCTTAATCCTAATTCAGAAGGGCAAACAGGACAGGAAGTAGGAGAAGACAGGAAACAGAACAGAAGCCTTCCACAGAGAGACTCTGAATGACTCTACCAAGCAGGGTATCGAAGAAGATGCAGAGATTCATAGCCAAATTTGGGGCAGATTACAGGGAATGTACCCCAACTGTCCTGCTCAGAGAACTGGTATGGTCACAAAAGCTGCCATTGCCACTGTTCTTGGTGTCTATGGAGTTCCTTGATAACATTTGCACTGAAGCTCAGGAGTGCTTGAGTTGAAATCAGTTTCCTGAATGTTGCCTTGGTAACCTGTTGCCTGAAATAAGTGATGATATTTCTACTACTGTGTTCAGACAGTCTGTGCAATCAAATCAACTAGCAACCTTTGTCTTCTGATACTCAAGCAGAACTGAAGCCCTGGACATGAACTACCACTCCATTGTCGACAGGAGATACCTCCTGAGGGAGGAGTTAGGCCCAATACATTTGCATGTGGTCATAAGATGCTCACCAGTTTCTTCCCAGAAACTCAATACTTTCTGTTTGAACTATTCCTCATTTTTAAGTCATGCTGAAAAATAAACATGTCCTCCAATTAGAAACA